ACCATCCCATTGTCTTCTCTCCTGCATGGTTTCTGTTGAGAAATCCGAGCTTAGTCTTATTAGTTGCCCCTTGTAGGTAACTTTTCGTTTTTCCCATGCTGCTCTCATGATTTTTTCTTTGCCTTTGCTTTTGGTGAGTTTGATGATGATATGACTGGGTGATTTTCTTTTGGGATCTATCCTGTTTGGGGTTCTTTGGACTTCCTTGAATGGATATATTCTCATCTTTCATCATAGCAGGAAAATTCTTTTCCAATAAATCTTTGACAATTTTCTCTGTGGTTTTATTTGTCTCTTCCTGCTCTGGAATTCCAGTTACATGTAGGTTATTCCTTTTGATGGTATCCCACATGAACCTTAGGCTTTCTTTATTTTGTTTTGATCTTTTTTCTCATTGATCCCTTTCCAAAGAAATATTCAGGTATTTACCTTCAATCTCACTGATTCTGTCTTCCATTGATTCAATTCTGCTCCTTTGCCCATTCAATGTCTTACCTATTTCTGAAACTTTAGTATTAATCTTCTGAATTTCTGTGTGTAGATTTTTTATCATTTCTAATTTTTCATTTATTTTGTCATTTTTTTCTTGTATTGTCTTTTGAAATTGTTCTAGGGTTTTTTCTGTGTTTTCCTTGATCTGTCTCTCAATTCGTTGAAGATACCTAAATACAATTCTTTTGAACTCCTTATCAGGGAGTTCCAATGCTGCGTCTTCCTCAGGGATATGTTTTGGGTCTGTATCCTGGTCCCTCGTTTCTCCTGTTTTATCTTGCTTCCTTGTGTGATGCTCTGTTGGCTCCGAGGCATTGTGAGGTTTTGTGTTTATATTTAATTGGTGATTGTATGTTGGAGTGACTTGCCCATAATTTTTGTTTTCTTTGTTTTGTTTGTATGTTATCTACACAAGTAGGGTACTGTGCTCCTCTATTCGCTAGTTGACAGCACTTACACAGTCACCACCTGTCTCCTTTCCTGTTGTCAGCCTCTTGTCTGTCCCTGCCAACCTTGGCAAACAGAGCCTATTCTTAGGTCCCTGGAATCTGAATGAGAATGCTATCACTTTAAAATCCAAAATGGTTGCCACTTGTAAAGATTCAAAATGGCTGCACCCTTGGTCACTTTAAATATCTAAAATGGCCACCTCTTATAAACATTCAAAATGGCTGCACCCTCAGTCACTTTAAGTATCCAAGGTGGCCACTGTTTGTAAAGATTCAAAATGGCTGCACCCTCGGTCACTTTAATTATCCAAAATGGCTGCTGTGTATAAACAATCAAAATGGCTGCACCCTCCGGACAGTGGAAAGTCAACAGCTTAGGTTGTCTCCCTCCTTGCTGTTCCCATTCCTAATCAAAGACCACCAGTGCAGTTGTCTCTGCAGCCTTTGGTGACCAGGGCTGATCTCAGGTCCCAACACTGCTTGGAAATATTCAGGCTGTTGTCCTGTCAGAGTAGCTGACAGTCCGCAGCTCCGACCATCTCTGTACTCACTGTTTTCGTTGAGGTTTTTCAACTAGTTGGTGCCTAATCCACTTCTGTACAGTTCCTTTCAAAGCTCAGGGCACCAGGATTATCTTCTGTATCTCTGTCAATTGTTTTTTCTTTTCTTTGTTGAAGAGGGTCTGTGTTGCTTGTCTGCCTATTCCTCCATCCTACTGGAAGTCCTCCTGAGGAATAGTCATTTTAACCTAATGCCAGGGAACATGAGATATACCCCCCTACTTCCCTGAGTTTGAGGATCCTTGAGCAAGCTTAATCTGTCATGGGACTTCCAGATTCAGAAGGTGACCTATAAACCCCCTTTGATGACTGCAGCTTTTTGGCTTCTAGTGTCAGTAATGGGGTTCTCTTCTCTGGTGTCTCCTGACAGAATACCTGACAGCTTGGAACTGTGATGTAGTCTCCCTTTATTAAGTTGGTTCCATTTCTGTGGTTTAGAAGGACAGAAGTGTATATCTAGCTTTAACTCAGGGGAGACAGAGAAGCTGGGTCAGCTGACTTTTGTCGCCAAACTGTCACTGCTAGTTGTAATTTGGCACTTAATTTGGTGTTAATTTTGGTTAGTTTTCTTTGCTTCTGATTGAAAGCTTCATTTGACCTTTGACCTCTTACCTCTTAGTCTGAGACATGTAGTGTGGAAATCCCAGAGCTGGAATTTGAACTGGGAATGGCTGTCCTCGGGGGCAAGTTCACTACACTGGAGGGGCTGCTAAAGGACATCCGGGAGCTGGTGAGTCACCTGAGTGGATAGTACAGCTGCTTCCAGCAATTCTGTGTGAAAGGGGTTGGAAGACCTCAAATATCCTAGTGTTCGGGGCTGATAACTAGGAATTTCTTTGCCTTACCCTGAGTTGAGAGACTTAAATGTTATTTTGGATTGTGAAGATAGTTTATGAGAAATTCTTGAGTATTCCTAGGCCTAACTCTGGGACCCTGCACTTATTTTGTGTAAATCATTTATTTCACTGTAAAATGAGGGACAAGGGTCCTTTCAACACCCAAAACTACCCAACATACATAAATGTATATGTTGACTTAACCCATATATTTACCCTCTTGATGAATCAGTTTACTCAGTTGATTCTTATTTGTTGGATATTTTGTCTTTATAAATTGAACTTTTTCTTTGCATTTCTTCTCTAATTTGTAAAAAGAAAATTAGAGTTGTTTAACATTGCCAGTTGTTGTCTTGGTAGATTGATCCATAGATTTCTAGGAGTGGCTGCTTGGATGGAAAGGTGGTGTCCGATCAGTGGAGACCCAGCTTGCCTGACTAGGTGCCCACCTGCTATGCCTGCCAGGCTTGCAGTCAGACCTAATAAACAGAGTCAATATGCTAGCAATCTGGATTCCTAGCTGTGCCTAAGCTGAGCGTTTTTGCTATTATTGCAGGTGACCAAGAACCCTTTCACACTGGGTGACAGTTCCAGTCCTGGCCGGGCAATGAAACTGCAGGAGTTTAGCCAGAAGTTGGACCAGGTGAGAGCACACTGGCCGGTATTGGTGGTCGTGAGGTTCCAGTGAACCAGGGGTTACCTACCCACTTGTTTTAAACATCTGTCTTACTCATTATGCTGGGGAGTCTTCTGGTTTGTAATATCTTTTGTTATCTTCTGTCTCAGTTTCCTCCTTTTGGTTGGAGCATCTTCCCCAGTAGTTTCCTTAGAAGGAGTGATTGGGAAGTAATATTGTTGGACTTAAATGTCTGAGAATTTCTTTATTCAACCCTCATGCTGGAATGATTGTTGACTGGGAATATAATTCTAGGTTGGAGATAATTTTTCATCTAAATAATATTTTATTGTACTTTTAGTGGAGTTTTAAATAGCAGTTTATGTTCCTATTTGACAGTTTCTACAGATTGTTCGGTGACACTGGTTACATCATTCACCGAACACTGCTGATACTGTTCTGTTTCTGTTCATCTAGTTTCCCTGCCCTTTTACCTTCTCATCTTTGTTTTAAAGTTATTCACTGTTTGGCCTCACATAAATGCTTTTTTAAAGGATCACAGTACTCATGGGTCATATTCATTATTTTTGTGAGCCAGTCTGTTACTTAGCTAAAGGTGACCTCAGGCTAGTTTGGGTTTAAAGATTACCTCAGGGCAGTAGACCAGTTCAGTATGTCTGTGTGTGTGTGTGTTTAAGGAATTTGAGCTTCTGTTCCACATTTTTCTCTCATTCTTTCAGGGTCTATCTATTTTGGCCCTGATCAGAATGGTAGTAATGGTACCTGGGCACCATCTAATTCTTCTGGTCTCAGGGTAGATGAGGTGGTGTTTGTGTTGACTCTTAGTCCTATAGACTAGTTCCTTCTCTGAGTCTTTGGTTTCTTTCTTTTTTATTCTGAACAAGTAGAGGACAGCAGTTGTACCTTAGATGGTCACTTTTAAGACCCCAGATACCACTCACCAAACTCGGATGTAGACCATAATTATGAGCTATATTATGCCAATTGACAGAAATACCCCATATAACTATGGTCCTAATCTTTCAAACCCAGAAAACCAATCCCATAAAGTGTTTGTCTGAAAAGTATCTCTAACTGTGCCCCCTACATGCTTTATTATATATGTGAATATATATGAATATACATATGTATATGCATACATCTATATAAACCCACCAGCCACTCCTCGGAAGGAAGGTTGAGCAATCTACTTCCATAGCGATACTGCCTCGGAAACCCAAGGAGGGGTCTCTGTGAGTCAGGTCCGACTCGACAGTACATAACAACAACAACATATATACACACATATATACTCATATGTACCTATGCATATATATGTACATACGTGTATATATATCTGCACATATATTTTTTGTTTGTTGTTGCTGTTGTTTCAAAACTAAATGTGTCATAGCAATTACCAAAAGGTCCTTTTTTCTTTACATTTTAGTGTCATCATTAAAAATGTGCATTGCTCTGCACACTTCACTTTTCTTCATTTTGTGTTACCTTTCCCATCACCAAAAATAAGTGCCTACTATCTAGAGAGTGAAAATCTACCCCCCATTCCATGGTTTCATCAGAATTTTGAAGACATTGCTTTGATGTCTTCTAGGTTCTGATTTGGCTATCAAGAAGTCTTAAACATTCTGAGCCCTGATCTTTTATATGTGACCTATTATTATCAGGATGTCTTTTTGTCCTTTTTGATGTGAAATTTCACGATGTGCTTTGGTGTGGGTCAGTTTTCAACCACTGTTCTAAGCACTTATTGGGGCCTTTCACATGCGGTTCAGTTCTAGGAAGCTTATTTCCCAATAGCTTTTCTAGTCTTTGAATTTCTTTCTTTTTTTTTTTTTTTAAAATAACATCCTGTTGTATTGAGGATATATTATCTTTTTTTTTTTTTTAACCTCTTGAGGATATTGATGTTAGTTTTTTTGAAGTTTTCTCTTCCTTGCATAGTTTCCATTTCCTCCAAGTTGGAATTTTTCATTTGTTTTTTTGTCTTACAGTGTTAGAGGCTTTGTTTAGATTTCTGATAATCATTGATTATCTGCTTAAAAGTAGAAAATGAAAAACCTAAATGGGATGAGTCTTGTTGACATTTGGCTTCACTATAGTGCCTACGGCATTTGACCACTACCCAGAAGGCTAGCAGTTCAAACCCACCAGCCACTCCTTGGAAGGAAGGATGGGCGATCTACTTCTCTAGTGATACTGCCTCGGAAACCCAAGGAGGGGTCACTATGAGTTGGATCCGACTTGACAGCAGTGAGTTTGGTTTTGGTTTATGGTATTTGTTGTTGTTAGGTGCCATCAAGTCATCTCCAACTCATAGCGACCCTATGCACAGCAGAACAAAACACTGCCCGGTCCTGATCCAGCTTCATGATTCTTGCTATACTTGAGCCCATCACTGCTATCACGGTGCAAATCCATCCTGTTGAGGGCCTTCCTCTCTTTCCTCGACCCTCCACCTTACCAAGCATGACATCCTTCTCCAGGGAGTGGTCCCCTCTGACAACATGACCAAAGTATGTGAGACAAAGTCTGGCCATTCTCGGCCTCCAAGGAGCATTCTGGCTGTACTTCCTCCAGGATAGACCTGTTAGTTCTTTTAGCAGTCCACGGTACTTTCAACATTCTTTGCCAACAGCACAGCTCAAAAGCATCAATTGTTCTTTGCTCTTCCTTCTTCATTGTCCAGCTCTCACATGCATATGAGGTGATTGAAAATACTATGGTTTGTGTCAGGCGCACCTTAGTCCTCAAGGAGACATCTTTGCTCTTCAGCACTGGAAAGAAGTCCTTTGCAGCCGATTTGCCTGGTGCTATATGTCATCTGATGTCCTGACTGCTATTTCCATTGGCATCAATTATAGAACCAAGTAATGTGAAGTCTTTGACAATTTCAGTCTTTTCTCCATTTATTGTAATGTTGCTTATAGGACCAGTTGTGAGGATTTTTGTTTTCTTTATATTGAGGTATAATCCATACTGCAGACTGTATTCTTCAGTCTTCATCAGTAAGTGCTTCAAGTCATCCTCACTTTCAGCAAGCAGAGTTGTGTCGTGAGTGTATCGCAGCTTGTTAATGATTCTTCCTCCAATCCTAATGCTATGTTCTTCTTCGTATAGTCCAGCTTCTTGGATTATTTGTTCAGTATATAGATTGAATAAGTGTGGTGAAAGGATACAGTACTGCTGCACTCCCTTCGTGATTTTAAACCATGAAGTGTTACCTTGTTCTGTTTGAACGACAGCCTCCTGGTCTATGTACAGGTTCCTCATGAGGACTATTAAGTGTTCTGGAATTCCCTTTTTTCTCAATGTTACCTACAATTTGTTATGATCCACACAATCAAATGTTTTTGCATAGTCAGTAAAACATAACTAAACATCTTTCTGTTCTTTGCTTTCAGCGAAGATCTGTCTGACATCAACAATGATACCCCTTGTTCTTTTCTGAATCCAGCTTGCATTCCTGAAAGCTCTTTGTCAATAAACTGCTGCAACCATTTTTGAATTATCTTCAGGAAGATTTTACTTGCATGTATATTAATGATATTGTTTGACAATTTCCACATTCTGTGGTATCACCTTTCTTTGGAATGGGTACAAATATGGATCTCTTCCAGTCACTTGGCTGGGTAGCTATCTTCCAGATCTCTGGCATAGTCGAGTGAGTGCCTCCAGCATGGCTTCTGTTTGTTGAAACATCTCAGTGGGTATTCTGTCAGTTCCTGGATCCTTGTTCTTCACCAATTCCTTCGGTGCAGCTTCGACTTCTTCCTTCAATGCCATTGGTTCTTGACCATATGCCACCTCCTGAAATGGATAAACATCAACCAATTCTTTCTGGTACAGTGATTCTATATATTCCTTCCATATTTTTTTGATGTTTCTTGTATCATTCAATATTTTGCCCATAGAATCTTTCAGTATTGCAATCGAGCCTTAAATTTTTTCTTCAGTTCTTTCGGCTTGAGAAATGCCAGGCGTGTTCTTTCCTTTTGGTTCTCTAACTCCAGGTCTTTGCACATTTCATTATAGTAATTGGCATTGTCTATTCGAGCTGCTCTTTGAAATCTTCTGTTCAGCTCTTTTATCTAGTCATTTCTTCCATTTGCTTTAGCTACTCATCACTCAAGGGCAAGTTTCAGAGTCTCTTCTGACATCCATTTCTTTCTCATATTTTTAATGATCTCTTGCTTTCTTCATGGATGATGCTCTTGATGTTTATAGGGTGCTTTATTTAGCTCAGCATTTTATTGAGGAAATTTCCAATAACATAATTGTTAGGTCTTTTATCTTGGGCAGATTCCCATCAGCTGGCTGTTCCATTACCTGGTCTGAAGGCTGGCAATATTCTGAGAGCTGAGTGTGAGAAGAAGGCCTGGGTGTGTATGTGTGTGTGTTTCTAATAAGCATAGTTCACTTAACCCCATTGGTTTTGATTCCTTTCCTTCCATTCTCAACTATGCTAGTGTACCCCAGGGCGCAGTCTTCTGATAACCTCTCCAGAGAAACCTCCAGTTTTCTGTTGGGTTAGGGGGAGGGAACTCGTTGGCCTTCTTAGAGCCGGGGGGACGGGGGCTGTTTGGTTTTTTGGAGTTTGGTGGTATAGTGGTTAAGGCATTTGGTTTTTAGCCAGAAGGTTGGCAATTTGAGCCCACCAGCTGCTCCATGGAAGAAAGATTAGAAGATTAGGCAATCTTGTTTCCATAAAGATTTACAGCCTTGGAAACCCAATGGAAGTCGCTCTGAGTCAGAATTGACTTGATGGCAGTGAGATATATACAAGCATGTGTACTCACATATACATACCTACATATCTATATATGTACCTGTGTGTCTGTACATGTATTGCTTCTTAAATAGCTTCCATACGGTCTTATTTTAGACCTTTTTACGCCACTTCTTTATTACTGTTGCTGTCGATTTAGGTCTAACTTATTGGTGACCCCGTGTGTGCAGAGTAGAACCACTCCATAGGATTGCCAAGGCTGTGACCTTTTGGAAGCAGGCCTTGTGAGGTGCCTCTGGATGGGTTTGAATTACCAACCTTTTTGTTAATAGTCTGGTGCTTAACCATTTATGCTACCCAGGGATTCTACTCCACTTCTGGAGCTACCTAATTCCACCAATTCTTAAGACTTTTGGGGATTCTACAATGTAGATTGAGTTGGTTATCATCTGGCAGACATAGCTTCTTCCTACCAGGAGCTATATACAAATCACACACTTTGTTCTCCCCTCCTTTTAGATCATCGAGGGTAAAAAGAAGGCCCACTTTATAATGGATGATCCAGCAGGAAACAGCTACTTGCAGGTACAGTAATCCTTCCCTGATATTTCATGGGTTTTTATTTTCTGCTCTCTCTTGAATATGTATCATTTCCCCAGAAACTAAAAGACTTGATTCTAAATGGACTGCCCTTTATCAGGGAACCTCTTAGCAGAAATTGGAACATAAGGGAGAAAAGATGAAGGTGGGAGGGATTGTAAGTATACGTAAAGAGAGAAAAAAAACCAAAACATACTCTTACCTCCTTTCTTCTTACGGCTTAGCCCTTGTCCCTAGCTCTAAGCCCAGCTCTGGGGTTTTTATTCTGCAAATGATTGTGGAGTGAGGAGAAATGGTGTCTTAAACAAGAGTCTAAATAGGAAAACTAAGAGGCTCTACATTGACTGGGAAGAATCTTGGTGATTGATAATAACTTAACATTGATGAAGCAGTTATTATGGGTCAGAACTGTGATTGAGACCATTGCCACACTCTTCAGAAGAAGGTTTAGTTGGAAAGTTTTTTAGGAATTGGAAAAAGAATAAAAAATTCATTAACTCTTGGGAAAGTGGGAGATGGAAGCCACTGGGGTGGGGGGTGGCAGAATGAAACAAGCACTGATTGTCTGTCCTTGGTCCTGCAGAATGTGTATGCGCCTGAAGATGATCCTGAGATGAAGGTGGAGCATTACAAGCGCTCATTTGACCAAAACGAGGCGTTAGGGCTCAATGACATGAAGACGGAGGGCTATGAGACAGGCCTGGCCCCACAGCGGTAGCAGTGGGCAGTTCGTGGTTCAGCCTCCAGCACCGCTCACACGGCAGGGTTATTTATTACTATTGTAATGCTGAGGAGAGTCCTCCCCACCAGACTTTGCACTTGGTGCGGAGGACACATTATCTAAGTTGGGAGAATAGGCACACTTCCTAAACAGTTTGTGATGCAAGTGCAAGCCTGTTGTGTTACTTGACCTTATTTTGAAAGTTTTGAATCAGCCTGTGAAGAAACCTGGAAATGAACTGTGGGCATGTCATTACCACGTTTCCTGAGTCTTTACCCTTTCTCCACATAATGCTCTCTATGTTAGGCTGAAACTCTTAAGTTCTTCCCAGTTTGACCCACGGAAATGGAGAATGGAATATAGCTACAGCTGGACTTTGGGAATTGATTACTGACTTTCAATAAGAGAAGTACCTCTCAGGAAAGAGTCTAGCATAGGTGAAAAAGTTATTAAAATATGACAGCTTTCAAATAGCACTGGCCTAGGTATTCACTCTGCCCTTGTTTGATTCCATGTTGTTGGCATTCAGACTCCTGAATAAAATTTTCTCATATGTGGTCATTGTAATTCGGGATTGGAGCTGAAATTTCATTTGTTCCTTCAGCAGATGTTTGAGTGCCTACAGTGTGCCAGGCATACCAGATCTCTGTCTTTGTGGACAGTCAGTCGACAGTGGGAAGACTGACAGGGAACAAATAAGTTTACAGCATGCAGATGGTATTTAGTGTTTGGAGGATTGTGAAGCTGGGAAAAGTGGTGGTTACTGCGACAAGTGTGTATGTGTGATTTCAAATAGTTTTAAATCAGAGAGGCTCTCAATAAGTTCATAAATAATTTGGCATTAGGCAGAGCTAAGAAGAGGTAAAGGAGTGAGCTATGTGAATTACTAGAACGAGAGATTTCCTGGTAGAGGGGATTGCAAATGCAAAAGCTCCAGAGGTTGAAGCACATTGGAACCAGTGGCGATAACTTGAGATCATCTGGTCCTCTCTCAAATACAAATAGGGAAATAGGTTCAGCCAGGGAAAGAGAGGGCTGCCCATAGCTGTACTGAAAGTTAACAGCCCAGTGAGCACCCTTGCCCAGGGCTGTAGACTCTGGCTGGTGTTTTCTGCACTGTAGCTTCCCGCTTCCCGTCTCATACTCCAGGCAGTCTCATACATGGTTTGCCCTTGATGCTGGCTGCAGGGTGACTTGTTCATAAAAGATTATTGATTGGGGTGTTATCTCAAACCTTAAGTTTTATGGTACAAATGCAACTTCCAAGAATTTATGTAGTTATAGATGACTTGGCAGTCACGCATCTATACTTAATGATGTATTAAACTACCAAAGTACACAGGTGGTTTTCCACTTGGAAAATAGTCTCACTCTTTATTCTCCACATTTGACAGTGGACCCTCTCCTCTCTCAACCTTTCCCTTGGTTCCTGTGATACTGTACGTCTCGTACTTTGATCATTCTTTATCTGGAATCTTTGCCTTCCCCTTCTTGAAATGTGCTTGTTTCTAAAGGTTCTGTTTTCAGAAACCTCTCTATATTGGGATTCTTTGGCATTTTATTACTTTTGTGTAGAACTGACCACCCCCCCATACCCAAGAGTAAGGTAGTTTTTTTTTGTTTGTTTGTTTGTTTTTAAGGATTTGAAGACAAAGATTAGCAAATGAATTCACTCCCACAAACTATAAAGCTGTAGTACCTTGATGAGATTTCTTATATGTAGGTATAAGAAATGGTCTATAGATGTGTTTCCAGATGATCTGGGAAGGTTCCATTGTACTTTCTGGCTCTATGAATTGATTAGCTTTGTTCTTATTTTTAAAAAATTTTTTTTACATACCTCTCCCCACCCTTTACAGGAAAGTGGCAGTGTTTCTAACTCTGAAAGGGAACAAACCAGTGCCACTTAGTCTGTGTGTTTATTTCAGAGTTTAGAAAGCCCTTTAGTATTGGCATCTCTACAGTTTCCTGGTCTGTAAAATGGGGATAATAATGGTACTTTCTTTGTAGGGGCTTTTAAGAATTAAGTGAGTTAAAAATTGTGAAGTGCCTTTTATTTGTATTTTCATTAATCCTCACAAAAATTCTGAGGTGTCTCCATTTTTGCTTTAAATCCTTTCTGAGGAAAGGTAGCTATAAATAAACAAAATTATCCCCATTTTACAGGTGAGGAAACAGCTTCAGAGAGGTTAGAGAGCTTCCCAAAGGAAGTAAAAATTTAAGAGGCAGGCTTCAAACCCAAGCCAGCCTGAGTGAAACACAACCTCAATATTCTGAGCTCAAGTCGATAATCACTTTTTTTTCCCTCTTCATTAAATGCAATTGCAGAGTGAAAGCAAAGCTCAGGTCATGCCCCCAGACATGCATTCTGCTGACTCTGCCTAACTGCCCTGTGAGGATTGGGATGCATCTGAGGTTGCGTCTTGACAGGCTAAGTTGAGGACTGGGTAGAATGGGTAGTGGTAGAAGTGAAGAAGCCAGAAATTTTCAGGAGATGGGGCCCAAGAGGACTAAAATGGTTATGTTCACTTGACCAGAAATGTGAGCCTTTCCAAATGCCTGCTGACATAAAGATGGAGGCAGAGCTATAGAGTTCAGTTTGAGATACACGAAACTGGACTAGAAATCAAGGCAGGGTTCCATATGGGGGACCATGAGGGCCTCCAGCTAGTAATGCCCTAATTTCTCAGTCCAGTGTCAGAGATTCAGTTCGCTTTCCTTTCTGGACTGATGTGGCAACTACTCAAGTGACCCAGTGGTTAAAAGTTCATACTTTAGAGCAGTGATCTTCAAGAAATACAACCAGAATGCTCTTTAGAAGTGAGGATGGCAAGACTTCTGCTCGCTTACTTTGGACACATCATCAGGAAAGATGGACATTGTGTTTGGTAAAGTAGAAGGTTGGTGAAAATGAAGGAAACTCTTAGTGAGAGGAACTGACACAATAGTCCAACAATGGACTCAAAGGCACCAGTGATCATGAATACGGCACAGGGCTGGGCACCATTTCATTCTGTTGCACTTAAGGTCACCATTAGTCAGACAGGATTTGTTGGCAACTAACAACAACCAAGAATTTTTTGAACATGTATCCCAATTTTTGTGTATCTAAAGCATAACAACACGTGCCATGTTACCTAACAACACAGAACACCGTAAAGGATAACAATGCCTACTCAACTAATATACTTTAAAACAATGACAGAAATTTACCTTATTTATGATTAGATAAAAAGAAAATACCAAGTCTAATATTTTACTTGTAAAAGTTTAGATTACCAAAAAAAAAGTTTGGATCACCTTTTTTACTCTACTTTGCTGATCTCTGCTCCTATGTGGCTTGGATTTGAATCTGGTCTTTGCCACCTTTTTTTTAGCTGTGTGGTATTGGGCAACTTCCTTAACCTCTCCAAGCTTCCATTTCCTCCTCTGTAAAATAAGGATAATAAACAGAATGGTTGTGAGGATTAAATGAAATAATTTGAGTAAGGCTCTTAACACCTCTATGATGATACTCTCCTTTCCCACCAGCATTTGATCTCCATAGCTTTCCTCCTCTGCTGTGCTGAAAATAGGTCCAGGTCTTTTTCATTGGAAAGATTTTGCACAATTTCAACAGATAGCTAGGTGTTACCAATGATTCAATGTGGAGAAGTTACATGGATTTTAGAAACCTCCATATGTTTCATAGGAATTACACTGGACCTAGGAGTTCGTTTGTCCCCTGTTTTGATGGAAAAACAAGGCTTTAGGAATTGGTGGAATACCAATTGAGATGTTTCAACACATAGATGCAACACTGGAAGTACTCACTCATTCCATGCTAAGAAATTTGGAAGGTAGCTACTTGCCCAGTTGATTGGAAGAGATCCATATTTATGCCCATTCCAAAGAAAGGTGATCCAATAGAATGCAGAAATTATCAAACAATATCATTAGTATCCCATGCAAGTAAAATTTTGCCAAAGATAATTGTGAAAGATGGTTTCAGCAGCACATCAACAGGAATTGCCAAAAATTGAAGACAGACTCAGAAGAAGCCATGGAGTGAGGGGTACCATTGCTGATGACAGATGGATCTTGGCTGAAAGCAAAGAATACCAGAGAGATGTTTATCTGTGTTTTATTGACTATGCAAAGGCATTTGACTGTGGATCATAACAAATGGATAATAATTCAAAGAAGGAAATTCCAGAACACTTAATTGTGCTCATGTGAAACCTATACATAGACCAAGAGGCAGTAATTCAGACAGAACGGGATACTGTGTGGTTTAAAATCAGGAAAGGTGTGTGTCAGGGTTGTATCCTTTCACCATACTTAGTCTGTATGCTGAGCATACAGAAGCTGGGCTATATGAAGACTAGAGATTCAGGACTGGAGAAAGACTCATTAAAAACCTGAGATATGCAGCTGACGTAACTTGTGCTGAAAGTAAAGAGGACTTGAAGCACTAACGAAGATCAAAAACTACAGCTGTTAGTATGGATTACACTTCAACATAAAAATCCTCAAAACTGGATCATTAAGCAATATCATGATAAATGGAGAAAAGATTGAAGTCAAAGATTTCATTTTGGATCCACAACACCCGTGGAAGCAGCAGTCAAAAAATCAAACAATATACTGCTTTGGATAAATCTGCAAAAGATCCTTTTAAAGTGTTGAAAAGCAAAGATGTCACATTCAGGACACAAGCCATGGTATTTTCAATTGCCTCATATGCACGCGAAAGCTGAACAATGAATAAGGAAGACCAAAGAAAAATTGGTATCTTGAATTATGGTGCTGAGAATATTGAATGGACTGGCAGAAGAAAAAATCTGTTTTGAAAGTACATCATCCTTAAAAGTAAGGATGATGAGATTTTGTCTCACATACTTTAGTCATGTCATCATGAGGGACCAGTCCCTGGAGAAGGACGTCATGCTTGGTATAGGGTCTTGCCCCATCAATGAGATGTATTGACATATGGCTATGACACTGGGCTCAAACATTGCAATGACTGTGAGGATGGCACAGGATTGAGCAGTGCTTCATTCTGTTGTACATGGGGTTGCTATGAGTTGAAACTGACTAAATAGTCACCTAACAACAACTAGGAGCGCCTGGGTGGTGCAAAGGTTAAGCAGTAGATTACTAGCGGGAAGGTTGGTGGTGAACCCACCCTAAGTGCCCCAGGGGACAGGCCTGGCGATCTGCTTACAAAAAGGTCACAGCCTTGAAAACTGGAGCAGTTTTACTCTGCACACATAGGGTTGCTGCAGCGTAGTTGTGTGTCAACTTGGCTGGGCCTGGTTTTGAGTGACTGGGCAGCTGGAAGTAGTTACTCTCCATTATGAGACTGGTAATCAACTCCATGGTAGAATCTACTGGAGCAGCTAAGTAGCTGACTTAAGGATGTAGTCTGCTTCTAGTATGTAAGATAGCTTTGAAAAAGGTCTCTGAGCTTTTTGGCACACCTGAATTCCTGCATTTGGCCGAGTCTTCATCTCAGTGGCCTGCCATGTTGTATACCTATCTTGGGGGCCATTAATGGACTTCAATTAGTGGCTTATTGTGTTGTTTGATAATCTTGGGACTGTGCTATTTTACTTGTTGACCTTGGTTTGTCAGCCCAAGCAGCCAGCGGCCCAGCAGCTGCCTGAGTTAAGAGATGCCTCCAGCTTCAGTGGGCTGAGAGCAAGAGGCAGAGCTGAAGCCCAAGGTCGAGGGTTTTTCACCCAGCCCCTAGAGCTGGCGTTTTGAACTCAGACTTCTAGCCTCCTAAACTGTAAGAGAAGAAATCCGTGTTTGTTCAAGCCATCTACCTGTGGTATTTTTCTGTTAGAGCACACTTTTGTTGTTGTTATGTGCTGTCCAGTCAACCCGACTCGTAGCAACCCCTCTCTGGGTTTCCGAGGTGGTATCACAACAGAAGTAGATTGCCCAACCTTCCTTCCGGGGAGTGACTGGTGGGTTTGAATCGCCAAGTGCCTTAGGCACTACCTACCAGGGCTCCTTCCTTGGCACTAAGTAACCAAAATAGTTGCCGTGAGTTGGAATCAGCTCAACTAACAACATACTGGGTCTGAAGTTCTTGATTGGTACCTGCAAGCTTGTTAGAACAAATTTCTCCCCACCTAAAGATATTTATAATACTAATATTTTGACTTATCAAAACCAAATCCACTGCTAGGGAGTTCTGACTCAGTAGGGTTTCCAAGACTGTAGATCTTTGCAGAAGCAAATTGCATCTTTTCCCTTAGAGCAGCTGGTGGATATGAATGGCCCGCATATTGGTTAGCAGCAGAATGCCTTACCACAGGGCCACAAGAGTTCCTACTAATAAAAATAACTATTCTATATTTGTAACTATGTGGCAGACACTGTTCTAAGCATTTACACTGTAACATCTCAGACTTAATTACCCTCATTAATACTATCATTATCCCCGGTTTGTGAAATAACTCGCCTATTTTTCCAACTAAGAAGTTATGGAGCCAGGATTCAAACTTAAATACACTAACTCCAGAGCGTGTACGTTAACCACTACACTATGGAGCTCTGGTAGCATAGTGCCTAAGGCATTTGACTGCTAACCAGAAGGCTGGTGGTTCAAACCCACCATCAAACCCACCAGCCACTCCTGGGAAGGAAGGTTGGGCAATCTACTTCCGTAGTGATACCACCTAGGAAACCCAAGGAGGGGTTGCTATGATCGGTCGGACTCCATGGCAAATAACAACATGGTGCTTTTGAAATTGCTGGGGGCAGGGTCCTGGTTGGGTTGTGTTGTAGCCTCAAAACTAGAACTGCGCTTGCTGCTTAGTTTTGTGAATAGACGCAGCTTGAGGAACAGGCATAGAAGCAACGCGATTGCGTCCTCACACGCAGGTAGAGTGGACCCTGTAAGCGTCCACACTTTTCGTTAGTCTCCACGTGCATCACCCAAGGAGCTTTTACCGCTCAGCCTGAGCTGTTCCAAACACTCCGCCAATTTCCGGTTCTGGCCACACCTCTTCAAGTCATTGCCATCCATTTCGCGTTCCAGAAGTTTGTCCTCAACGCCGAGCCGTCTCCCCGCCCGCGCCGCTGCAATGGCGGCAGCTCCGCCGCTCTCCAAGGCCGAGTATCTGAAGCGTTACCTGTCTGGGGCAGATGCTGGTGTCGATGGGGGCCCCGAATCCGGTCGCAAGCGTCGCAAAAAGCGGCCCAAGCTTGGCGGGACCGGAGGCAAGGGGTGAGTAGGTACCAGCGGGGTCGGGACCTGTGGCGGATCACGGTCCCTCTAATCTTCTCTCCGTTCTCCCGCACCTAGCTCTTCCTTCTCTCCTTGCCAGGCCAGGATCCCTCCCCTCTGTCTGCTCATCCAACTCCTGCTTGAGCTCAGGGCCCTGACTTGCTGTGGCTACACCACTTTACTCTTCGCGTTACTGAGCGGCATCTTCTCTTGGTTAAGCTATGCTTTAACTTCGATTACTCTTTTGCCGACCTCTCTGTAGTGAATGAATATTGTTCCCTGAGAATGATGGAGCTAATTTCGTGCCTTGGTGCTTGGATTTTTAGAGTTCAGAACCTGCCTGTGAGGTTTCTCGAGTCCCAAAGACTCCGATCCTGAGTTTGAGACCCCTGGTCACTACTGCTAATACTACTACTAATAATAGCAACTGGCATCTACACACTTCTTACATTGTACCAGGCACTGTTCTAGGTACTTGCATGTGAACTTGCTTAAGCTTAACAACACTTCTATGAACAATGACTACAAAGTAGTTACAACAATAACAATAGTTATTGTTCGTATCACCATTTTATGAGCAAACTTTTGTAGCCCTGTGAAATGTAAGTGTTTCAAGGAACTAAACCATTTTCTTTCTTGGTTTGATTCTTGACTTTCCCTTGTTTTCTACTTTCCTGCCCCTCTTGCTTGGGTGTATTCTTTGGACCCAGTACGATGTAGTGAAAGTAGCTTAGCTTTGGAGAAACATTTTGTGGAGTTTGACTCTTACCTGTAGAGCCTTATGTATAGGCTGTGTGGCCTTGGGCAAGGTATTTATTCTTTTTTGAGTCTCAGTTCCCTTATCTTGAAAATGGGAACAACAGTACTTCTTGTATTAAATAGTTGTTGTGATTTTAAAGTATTAGTTTCCACATAGTCACTTCCTACTCATGGCGACCCACCCACGTGTGTCACAATAGAACTGTGCTATATAGGGTTTTCAAAGGCTGGTTTTTCAGACGCAAATCCCCAGGCATTTGTTCCAAGGCTTCTCTGGGTAGACTCTGGGAACTTGGATTTCCAACCTTTCAGTTAGCAGCTGAGCACATTGACTGTAATACATCCTTCTGTTGTTTGGTTAGAAATGATACATAAAGTGTCTCTGACCTTACAGATAATAACTATTAACATGATGAAGTTATTGTTATTTGGTACCATCCATTAGTTCATCCATGTAACAAATACTTAACAAATATTAACATGATGAAGTTATTGTTATTGGTACCATCCATTAGTTCATCCATGTAACAAATACTTAATTGAACTTCTGTGCTAGTTACTGCAGGGTGTTGAGGTTGCCTCTTTGGACAAGAAAGACATAATCCCTGTGCTGATGGAACTTACAGTTTAATGGAGATACAGGCCTTAAACAACTATTTACACAACTAATTGATCAATTTCCTTTGTGATAAATTCAGTGAAAGTACTCATGAATGTGTAACAGGGATTCTTAGTCCTAGGGGAGAGGGGCAATCAAGGAAGGTATGCCTAAGGAGGTTATATTTATGTGGGGACCTGAAGAGTGAGTAAGTTTTCTGTTGATGAGTGAGAGAAGAGCAGGTCAGGCAGAGGGAACTGTGTATTTGAAAACTGGTGTAAGAAATATGCCTTATTTTAGGCACCAGTGAGGTAGTGAACTGAGGGGGCAGCAGTGTGAAATGAAGTTGGCCGTATAGGCAAGGACTGGATCATGCAGGATCTTGTAGGATTTTGAACTTTATTCTTAAATTCAATGGATAAGTGTTCTTGGGGTGTTATCCAAGAATGATTTTTCTCTTTTCTTTTTCACATTTAGAATGCGGATCGTGGATGATGATGTGAGCTGGACAGCCATCTCCACCACTAAAGTGGAAAAGGAGGAAGAAGAAGATGATGGAGATTTGCCCGTGGTATGTATCTTTTGGGGCTATCAGGATTTTGAAATGATATGAGCCTCTTAATCTCTACTCCTGCTGCAGGGTAGATTTTTATGGGGAAAGTTGAAAACGGAGAAGAAATGGCATTTTCCACAGGGCTGTTTAAAATAGTTGCCAAAGAGGCAGGGAGACTGCATCTTCTGACCTCCTCTAACTCCACAAGAGGAAGACAGAATCACCGTCAGTAGCCCAAGGGCTATTCCTGCAAGGCCAGACATGCTGCCTCCCTCTAGCCCTTTCATCAACTGTTCCTCCCACAATACCCACCACCTCTTTGCTGGGTTCAGTAATTCACTGCAGTGACCACACAGAACTCACAAATTATGGGGTTTATTAGGGAAGCAACAGGCTACAAGTCAAGTTCAAAAATGCACTCAGTCTCTTGCAGCCAGCCGTCTCACTAAGCAGCCTGTAGTGTTTCTCTCAGCAATGGGTGTCTTTCGCATCGCTCTCTCAGCAGCTTGTGTCTCTCGCATCTGTCTCTCAGCAGTGCATGTCTCTCAGGAGCATATTTCTCTCAGCAGCACATCTTTTCTCAGCAGCAGTCAGAGAGACTCCTTCTGCCTCTAGGAGGGCTCTTTTTGAGCCTGGCAGAGTGGCCAAACTAACCAGTCCCAACATTAGAATTCTATACACCTGAGAGAAAACTTTTCCCAGAAGATTGCTTTGCCACTCTGAAGAGAAATACCCCAGGTGGATAACTTTAACAATCAAGAGCTACTCAGTTGTTCATGGCATATTCTACCATAGAATTTACAAAGACTTATGGCTAGAAAAGCCATACCATGTAATTTACTACACCACAGTAGTATTCTTTGGCATATGCCTCTACACTGACTTTCCTGTTTGTGGAGGGCCCCATCAGCCTTGAAATGGGAACCAATCACAGAGAAAGGCAGGATATCCTCAACATCAGTGGTAGAATCATAAATAGAGTTAGTGACAGTGCAATTTGCTGGAATCCAGCTTCTGACAATGTTCAGGTTCAATTATAGGGAACTTTTAATTTGCTTCCATGAGTTGGAATTGACTTGATGGCAACTGACAACAGCAGCAACATTCAGTGATTCAACTGAGCTTTAAAACTGTGTACACTGTAGTACACTTGCTTAAGTACTCGAGGTGTGTAGATTAGGGTTCATACCCTAGAATGGGGACTGATTTTTTTTTCATTGCAGTGAAGATACACACAAAAAATTTTAATCAATTCAACACTTTCTCCATGCACAATTCAGTGACATAGACTATACTCTTCATGTTATACAACCTCCATTACTACCTTTTTTTCTAATTATTTCACCACCATAAACATAAACTCAATGGCCCTTAGCAAAAAATTCCCACTTTTCTCCTCCCTTCCACCTCTGGTAATCACTAATAATAATCTTTGGTTTCTATATAGTTGCTTATTTCATATAAATGAGGTCATACAGTATTTGTCTTTTTGTGGCTGACTTATTTTGCTAAGCATAACGTTTTCAAGATATGTCATGTATCAGGATTTTGTTTCTTTTTATAGCTGAGTAATACTCCATTGTGTATATATACCACATCTTGGTCATTCATTCATCTGTTGATGGACAGTTTGGTTGTTTTTACCTTTTGGCTATTGTGGAAAGTGCTGCAGTGACATTGGCGTACAGTTTCTGTTTGTGTTCCTGTTTTCTTGTTCTTTGAGTATATACCTGGGATTGGGATTGCTGGATCATACGGTAATGATAGTTACAGAGTAGCAACTATGTGCAAGGCACCATGTTCTGTGCTTTACTTACATTATCTCACTCAATTCTCACAATAGCAAAGAAAGGCTCCCTACTACTGATGAAATCTGTAAGTAAGAGAAGTTAACTTTTTTTCTACCACAAGCCAGTAAGTGGCAGGAGTGGATTTCAAAGCCAGATCATAATTACTCTGTACTTCCTCACCTCTTCTCCCAAGGTCCTACCATTCTTCGTGTAACCTAGCTTTGAGATCTCTTATTGGGCGTTGGATATACAGGGTGTCAAGCAAGATTAATTGAGATCTACAGTCCCCGCTCTGCTGCTTAATATCTGTGTAGTCTTTGGCAAGTTACTTAACTCTGTCTGAGCCTCCATTTCCTCATTTATGAAAATGAGGTTCAAAGGATTGCTGTGAGGACTAAATGAAATAATTCATATAAGCTTAGCATGGTGCTTGATACATGGTAAATGCTCAGTAAATTGTGCCTATTAGTTATTCCTATTATTATAATTATTTTGTCATTATTGTTGGTGGTTGTGGTAGTGGTCTTGCCATAACAAAAATGACTTCAATGATGAAGATATGTTCTGACTGCTGGAGAGGGCAGTGGGGCTAAAACTTCCCTTATTTAGGTTTTTGGGCAATCAAAAACAAAAGACAATATTATAAAGGCATTGACTCGAAGGCAGTGAGTTTTTTTTTTTTTTTTACTTGAAGTTATTCCACCAGTCATCTTTGAAAGTCTTATCATGTGAAAAGAGGATCAGTTGAATCAGAGGTCAGAACTAAGATCAATGGAAAGAAGTTACAAGAAGGTAGATATTGGCCCAGTAAAATTAGGAATTTTCTAGGCAAAAATGTCCAAAAATGCCATGTTAGATGAGTTCCCTGCCAGTGAGAGTCTTCAGGGAGGAATTGAGTAGATGATCATTTATCAAGGATACTGTGGAGAAATTTCCAGATTTGTTGGGGAGTTTGAACGATGTGAAATATGATTTTACATCTTAATGATTCTATGATTTCTTTTAGTTTGATTCAAGAAAACCTGTTAATGTTATTGCCTATAGCAGGAAAGTGTTTATAAGGAGCCCAGAGAACTTGGTTAGTGACAGGAATGACAGGAAGCCAACCTGTGCTTTTACTCTGAATGTAAAAGGAGAGATCAGGAAGATGGAAGGTTTTAGCTTACAAGTGGTTGTGTACCTGGCAGGTTAAAAAAGGTTTGTAATGAAAGAAATTAACCTTTAGAAGGAAATTGATTAGATCTGTAAGTAAGCCAGCCCAGTGACAATCAGATATTTATGGAGCAAACATCAATGAGAACCACTACATGTTTCTTCGTGACTGCTTTGAGTGTGTGTGAGCCATGTTTATTCGGAATGGGAATGGTCATAGCTTTGGGTTCCTGAGACAGTAGTGCTCGTTGGCTGGATCCTGTGCATTTTCTTAGTATAGTGTCCTCACTCCCACAGGTAGCTGAGTTTGTGGATGAGCGCCCAGAAGAGGTAAAGCAGATGGAGGCCTTTCGTTCCAGTGCCAAGTGGAAGCTTTTGGGAGGTGAGTTCCAACATTAGGATAAATTTAAATTTCCCAGTTATGGGGGAAATTTTTTTTGGGGGGGGTACACTTCTCAGGGGACTGCATAGTTTGTTTATAGTGTATCGTTGTGCCTGAAAAATTTTGTGGGGAAAAAGAATTTAAGACCTTAGTGGTAGTAGGACACGGGAACTGAGAGACCAGGTATCCCTCTTTCTCTTATATTTCAGCACCTAGTCCTCTTTGGCCCCAAATAAGGGAACATTTAGCATACAGGCAGGACTTTGGGAGATGTTTACACAAATCAGAGGAACCGAGTGTGTAGGGTTTGCAACCTCTCTTAGAATGAATGAATGGGTCAAGGACCAATATTCTCTGTCCTTTTAATTTGTATTAATAAATCTTTTTCTCTTCTTCCTTTAAATATTGGATTTTAAGTGCACTACTTCCACTTTTGCATTCTCCACCTCGTCCTTAGGCTTATAATTCAACCCTCTTCTCCTTTTTTGAATCCTTAGGAATTGATTAAAAGTCATTTGTTTGCCACATCTGTGTCCTCTACTGGATTGTAATTTTGAGGTCATAAACCTTGTCTTATTTGCTTTGATATTTCCTCTGCCTAGCACCAAGTTTTTGTTGTTGTTGTTGTTATGTGCCATCGAGTTTGGTAAATCATCACTTGAGGCTTTTTCAAAAATGTGATAGGTATCATCTACCTACTGTGGGACCAGAACTAAGAAATACTTAGTCCTGGTGAATCATAGTCATTCAGGCTCTGTGTGGCCAGTGGAAGCTTACTGTTTGTTTGCTTTCTCACCACCTATATTTCTTCCTTTAAGATACCTAGGTGGCGCAAACAGTTTGTGCTCTACTCTTAACCTAAAGGTTGCAGTTTGAACCCACCCAGAGGCACCATGGAAGAAAGGCCTGGTGATCTACTTCCATAAAAAGATTATAGCCAAGAAAACCTTAGGGAGCTCAGTTCTGTTCTGTCACCCATGGGGCTACCAAGAGTCAGAATCGACTAGATGGCAAGGAGTTTGGTATATTGCTTTATTTATTTCTTTTTATACAAGGATCCTGCTTCTTGGTAGTTGATTAGCTCCATTTTACCCTTGGTGCTTATTCACACATGGAGGGTGAAAGAATTAACTCCTAAACAGGATTTCTCTTTCTGTAGAGTACTCTGTGCTAGTAGGTTAACTATTATACAATTCTAAATAGAAAAAAAATGCATAAGAAAAGTGACAGTTGATTATAGGTTAGTAATCACCACCTCAGTTGATTTTCAGTAAATTATTATGCATCTTTATGAATGAAAGTGTCATTATTAGAGTTCTTTTATCAGAATCTTTTTTAATTGATTATGTTCTGCTTTATCCTGAAGTTGTAAATGCAGTTTTTCCATAATCGCTATTCTAGGACTCTTTGAATCTTCACACCTAGGAAGTGATACACAGATACATACACACATTCATATACATACATATGTTATATGCACACACATATATAATCCTTTTTTCTTTGCTTCATTCTCATTGCCCTGTTCCCATTTGTGACTGGAAGTACTCCATTTATCTCTTTAACTTCCTTTTTTACAAATATGTAATTTATCAGCCTCAGGGATTAGGTTTATTGTCAATTCTCCCGTAGATATCAGTATTTTTCTGTAGGGTGGATTCTAATCAGATAGGCCTATTTTCCAAGGTGAAGATGTTGACTTGGTTTATTCATCCTTTCAACATTTATTCTTTGGGTCCTACCCAACTTCTTTTTTTTTTTTTTTTCTGAGTTATAGAGCTCAGTGGCAAGAATTAGAGGAGAAGAAGAACTGTATTTTGGAAATATCCCAGGTTGCTATAAACATTTCATTTTATTATGCCTTTAAAAATTCTGGGTCTCAAAATCTTTCCTCAATTAGACATTTTTTAGGGTTGCACTTGGACTCTGGAGTCAAACAAATCTGATTTGGTTTATTCACTCCAGCACTTAGTAGCAGTGTGACTTTGGCAGATTATTAAATCTTTCTGACTGTCAGTTTCCTCGTGTATAAAATGAGGGTAATAATATGTATCTCCTAATCTTCTTGTGAGGTTTAAATGAGATAATCTATATAAAGCACAGGGCATGTAGCAGGTGATCAATAAATGCTTAATCTTTTTATTTTTTCTCCCTTTCTGCTGAACTTTTTTTTTTCCCCCTCTGAGAAGTGACATGAATTAAATATTAACAGCATTTCACTTTGATCTGGCATAAAACAAACCAAACTCATTGCCATCAAGTCGATTTCAACTCATAGCAACCTCCTTTGTGTTTCTGAGGTGGTAAATCTTTATGCAAGTAGATTGCCTAGTCTTCCTTCTGTAGAGTGGCTGGTGGGTTTGAACCGTCAACCTTCTGGTTAGCAGTCAAATGCCTTAGGCACTACACCACCAGAGCTCCTTCGATCTGGCATAAATTTACTCAGTTTGTCTGTTGAAAGATTGTTGTTGTTGTTATGTGCCATCGAGTCGGCCCCGACTCATAGCGACCCCTCCTTAGGTTTCCGAGGCAGTATCACTACGGAAGTAGGATTGCCCAACCTTCCTTCTGAGGAGTGGCTGGTGGGTTTGAACTGCCAGCCTTCTGGTTAGCAGTCAAGTGCCTTAGGCACTATGCTACCAACTGAAAATTATGTAGGCTAAGTATCAGCAGGAGCCAGTAACTTGAACTCTCTGAATAAATAATATTTTAGAAAGAACATTGGATTGGGAGTTAGAAGACTTGGGTTCTAGCTTGTCTCTTCATCTTAGTAGCTGTGTGACCTCAGATAAGAAATCACTCATCTCCTCAGAGACTTATTTTCCTGTCTATAAAACAGATACCTACCCTGCTTAGGAGTTCTGGTGGTGTAGTGCCTAAGGCATTTGACCGCTAACCAGAAGGCTGGTGGTTCAAACCCACCAGCCACTCCTCGGAAGGAAGATTAGGCAATCTACTTCCTTAGAGATACCACCTTGGAAACCCAAGGAAGGGTTGCTGTGAGTTGGATCCGACTTGACGGCAGTGAGTTTGGTTTTTTAGTTTTTATCCTGCTTACCTTACAGGGTATAATAAGAAAAATGAATTTAAAATGCTTTGCAAACTTCTGACTTGATAGACAAAAGGGATTATTCTTAAGATGATTATAAGGGCTGGTTTGTTGCCACTAAGCAAAAGACCTGGGCAGGTATTTTGGGCTTTCTGAGTAACTTGGAGATGTATGCTGCTGGGGGATCTTTTGAAGCATTGGGTACCAGGGGTGAACAGAGCATCTGTGGGACTCTGACTCTTTGCTATTTGTGTTTAGGCCACATTGAAGACATAGCTTCACATAGACATTTCTGTCACGACTCCCCGGATTCATCTCCGCCTTGGAGGTTTCGTCATGACTCCCCGGATTCATCTCCCCCCAGGAGGGTCCGTCATGACTCCCCAGATCTGTCTCCCCCCAGGAGGGCCCGTCATGACTCACCGGATTCATCTCCTCCAAGAAGGATCCGTCATGACTCCCCAGATTCTTCACCACCCAGGAGAGTCCGTCACGATTCCCCAGATCCTTCTCCGCCCAGGAAGCCTCATCGTAATTCTTCAGGTGTATCTCCCAGGAGAGCTCGTCATGACTCACCAGATCCTTCTCCTAAGAGGGCCCATCATGATTCTTCAGATACAACTTCCTCCAGAAGGGCTCGCCATGATTCCCCCAAATTGTCTGCTAATGTCCCTCATTCACTACCCAGAACCAAAAGCAGTAAAGCCCCAGAAAAAGCCTCTAGCAAGCCTTCGCCACATTGGAGGAAGCCAGGACCTTCTCATTCATCACTCCCAAAGAACAGCAAATACGAATATGCCTCAGACCTCTCTCCTCCACGAAAAAAGGAAGCAAAATCTCATTTTAAAGATAAGCATCGTGATTCTAAAGGTGAGCATGACTTATTCCTTCAGAGCATTTTTTTTTGGACCCTTTACTTAGGTATCTAAGATCACTAGAAATGAGAATGGAGTTTCTTTGGAGAAGTTTGAAAAACTGTAGGGAAAGAGTGAGAGATTAGGCTTAGAAATAAAAATTACAGGGTCAGGGAGGAAAGTTTTCCATATCCTTTTATTTATTCTCCCCACCCCATATAAAATTGCTCCACGTTTGTTGCAGAAATTTTTGAATGTACTGAAAGGTATAAAGAAGTAGAGAAAAGGTCACTCATACAAAATTGTGTTGTTCATAGCTAATCACTGTTAGTGTTGTAGCCAATGTCCTTTTAGTCTTTTTTTCTTACTTGTTTTTGTAGTTGAGTTTTGACTATGGATTAAATACATACTGCATGTATAATCTTGCCTGGTTTTTTCACTTATCTCTTCCATGTCATAAAAAACTCTTTGTTAATAAGATTTTTAATTATAGACAATGCAGTATGTACATTTGCTTAGCCATTTTCCTGATGTTGCATACTTTAGATTGTTTCTGAATTTTTGCTGTTGTAATGCTCTAATGAACATCGTTGTACATAAACCATTGTCCTCATTTTGGATTACTACTTTATCTACTTCTAAATAGATTTCCTAGAAATTTAAATACTTCTAGATAGGTTTCCTAGAAAATTCAGTAGAAGTTGATTTTCTCAATCAGAGTTTCAAATGCATGCATATTTTCAAAATTGTCGATAAGTTGTTGCCAGATTGCTTCTTGGGAGGTAATTTCTGATGTTTTATATCTAGAAGTTTGTTTACTCCATTTTTTGTCCCTAGGTACTACTTTAGTTTTTAAATTAAAATACATTGTTATCTTTTAAATGAACCCTGGTGATGCAGAGGTTAAGGAGCTTGGCTGCTAATCAGAAGGTCAGAGGTTCAAACCTACTAGTCACTCTATAGGAGAAAGGTGTAACAGTTACTTCCATAAAGATGATAGCCTTGGAAGCCCTATGGGGCAGTTGTTCTCTGTTGTGTATGGTCACTATGAGTTAGAATCAACTTGATGGCTGTGGGTTTGGTTTGGGAGCTCTATGGGGCAGTTCTTCTCTGTCGTAAACGGTCACGATGAGTTAGAATTGACTTGACGGCAGTAGGTTTGGTTAAGATTTGGATTATCTTCTAGTGAGAAGGCATCAAAATGTATTTTAGGTATTTTTAACTTTTACCATACCTTTGAGAGCTGAGTGTACATTGTTTTGCCCATTCTTTGGTTGTGGTGGATATAACATAGGTGAGTATGTTGAGATCTCACCCACTACTCGCAGTCAGTAGTCACTTGGATTTTAAAAGTTGTGTTTGACTTTACTTTTCTCTGACACACTTGTGTTGAGGTTAATGATAGTTTATCACAGGAGGACTAAGTGGACTTAGGAGAACTAGCTTGGTAAGTTTTTTTTTTAGATTCCACTAAGGGGATTAAAGAATTTATTCCTCTATTTCTAGGCTCTTCTCCCAGCCATAGAAAATGCCATTTAAGCTCTTCACCAAGGAGACATCAGAGCCAGACCTTGGATTCTTCTTCCTACCCGAGTGACAGCCGGAAAGCCTCTGATTCAGATCTTTCTCCTCCACGGCATAAACCTAGACAAAGTTTGGGGCACCAGGACTCTGCTTCAGATCTGTCACCTCCACGGAGTAGAACTAGACACCGGAGCTCGGATTCTGACCTCTCTCCACCAAGAAGGACACAGAGGACCAAATCTTCTGATTCTGATCTGTCTCCACCTCGAAGGAGTCAGCCTCCTGGAAAGAAGGTGGGGATTTTCGGGAGCTGGATCCTTCTTGTAGAGTGACTCAACTCTAGCTCTGTCAGGTTCCAGAGATACAAGCCAGAGGGCATGGGAGTAGCTCTTGGCAGTGTAGTATATCTAGTTGAAAGGATCACAGAGCTTGCTCTTTCTTTCTGAAGGCAAGACTGGCAGTAACATGGCCCAAGTGGACTTGCAAATGCCAGCTGTCTATGTAGTTTCTGCCTTGATATCCGCTTAGTTCCACAAACCTAATTTTAATAGATCTAGAAAAACAGCTTTTCTTAATGAATAAACTGAGGGACATGGTTGGCAAAGTGGGGTTATGTGCATAAACCTTGTGTCAAATTATCAGAAATTCAAATCCTAATTCTACCACTTAAATCTATATGATTTGAGCAATATATTTAATATCTGTAAGCCTCAATTTGCTCATCTGTAAAATAGGGATAGTAGTAGCACATAACAACAACAACAGCAACAAGAAGTAGCTACTTTGGGAGCTCTTGTGCATAATGTCTAGGGCACTTAACTGCTAACCAGAAGGCTGGCGGTTCAAACCCGCCAGCCACTCCTCGAAAGGAAGATGGGACAATCTACTTCCATAGTGATACCACCTCAGAAACCCAAGGAGGGGCCGCTATGAGTCGGGTCCGACTAGATGGCACATAACAGCAACAACAACAACAGTAGCTACTTCATAAGGTTATTGTGATAATTAAATGAGTTGGTGTAAGTAAAATTTCTACTGAAGGGCATGGAACAAAGTAAGCAGTCAGTCAGTGTTAGCAGTTTATAATTATTATGAGATTATAATTACTGAGTTGGACTGGAGGTCTTTGTATCCAGAACTTAAAGAGTGGCACTGAAAATATAAAATTGCCTTTTAGGAATCTTGTCTTCTGGGAAGCCAGTGTTTTGTTTGTTTTTGCTTTAAATCTATGATAAAGCCTGAATTAGCAAAAAGAAAAAAGGAAAAAAAAGTCTGCACGAATTCTGGGTAATTGTGTTACAATAACTCTGGGGCTACTAAAGGAATCTTATTCCAGTGAATTGGTTAAGAAACAGAATGATACAGCCTGTGGTATGAATATTAGTGGACTTATCAGATACAGTCTCCTCTGTAGCCCAAGTTGGCCTGGCAGGGCAGACCAGCCTGTCTCTAGCCCAGGAAGGAGGATTCTTCTCTTTTGGAGAACAGTGGGGTCTCGGTTTCAGCTGTACCCCTGACATTTTATGTATCTGAGTAGTTCATGAGACACTGAATATTAATTAAAGTTAGTACGTTACTTAAGGCTATCAGGATATGCTGTACAGTTCATTTGTGGGTTGTTTTGCTGTCTTGATATAAAGTGGAGATTAGTAAGAAGTTTGTATCTGGTCATATCTTCTGTTATTATCCTAAAAGATATCCATATTTAAAGATCTGAGGTTTGCTAGAATTTCTGGGTTTTAAATTGAATATTTTATCAGTGTGGGTTTGTATTGGAGGGTGTAAAACTTGATACAGGTTTCTGATCAGGTGACATGAGAATGAATCTTCATGTATGCAGTTTATATGCTGAAAAGTCAGACATACAGGTGCTTAGCACTCCTTGAGGACTCCTTTTAACATCTTGTTGATTTCTGTTTATATATACTTTTTTTTTTTAAATTGTGAAAATATGCACAACAAAATATTTGCCATTTCAACAGTTTCTACATGTATAATACAGTGACGTTGTCTACTCTTAAACTTGATAGTACTATTAATCTTCCATGAAATTCTATTTCATTTCTTCTATTTTGCAAATTCTGTAGTCAGTAAGGGGATTATAAAGCCAGAGTTTGTGTTTTGGTTATTGGTGATTATCAGGCAAAAATGCAGCTGTCTTTATATACCTGTAAAGACTACTGTCTCATTGTCTCATTAATGTTGAATGCTGCCATTTTCATTGAATAGGCTGCACATATGTTTTCTGGGGCCAAAACTGGGTTGGTGTTAACTGATATACAGCGAGAGCAGCAGGAACTCAAGAAACGGGACCAAGAAACTATGGAGTTTGAAGGTAAAAATCTGAACGTGCAGAGACCAATGTAGACTCATGTAGCTGTTATTTTCTTAATGTAGCGTAATGTGCCTGACATTTTAAACTTTTGATTACTGTCTGATTTTAGCTCTGGTTTTATGCAGTACTTTAACTTCTCAGTGGTTTTAAGTGGCTTTTTTGTTTCTTGAAAAATGTCGGTTCTCAGGACCATTGCCAATATGCACTTACAAATTAATAGGAGCTACTTGTGGTCTGGCTGAAAATTTTCCTAGCCAGCATCAGAATTCAAAGTGGTTGATTTCATCTAATGATATTATTATTTCTGATTTTAATACTGGTATTTATCTTAAAAAGTACAATTTTCTTTGTAGCTGAATTCCAATATGCTGAAACCGTATTTCGAGATAAGTCTGGTCGTAAGAGGAACTTGAAACTGGAACGTTTAGAGCAAAGGAGAAAAGCCGAGAAGGACACACAGAGAGATGAGCTGTATGCGCAGTGGGGGAAAGGGTAAGAGAACCATTGATAGAGAAAGGAAGATGACAGTCACTGCAGCAGGGCATTTCTTTGCTCTCTGACCAGACACTTCAGTGTTTTGCCTGGTATCAGGAATAGGAATTTCAGTGTGCTGCATCTCCTTCCACACATCAGGTTGGTAGTCTCCACATTTTACCACTTTCGATATTTGGCTTCCCAAGACTAAGCTCACTGCTGTTGAGTCGGTTCTGACTCATAGCAACCCTATAGGACAGAGTAGAACTGCCCCCTGGGGTTTCCAAGACTGTAAATCTTCACCAAAGCAGACTGCCTCATCCTTCTGTGGAGCAGCTGGTGGGTTTAAACTGCTGACCTTATGGTTTGCAGCCAAATGCTTTAACCACTATGCCATCAGAGTACTTGTATTTGGCTTATTGTTAGGTGCTGTCAAGTTGGTTCCAACTCACAGCGACCCTGTGTACAATAGAACAAAGCACTTCCTGGTCCGGTGCCATCCTCATAATCTTTGCTATGCTTGAGTCCATTGTTGCAGCCGCTGTGTCAGTCCTCTTGTTGAGGGTCTTTCCCTTTTTCTCTGACCCCCTACTTTAACAAGCATGATACCCTTCTCCAGGCACTTGGCTTAGGCTTCTAGACAGAAGAGATTTTCCAAACGAAGCATCATGGCCCATCTCAGTGTGGGAGTGGAAGTGTACAGAAGGATATCATACACTTTTGGTTGTTTATGCCCAGGCTTGCCCAGAGCCGCCAACAGCAGCAAAATGTGGAGGATGCAATAAAGGAGATGCAAAAGCCTCTGGCCCGCTATATTGATGATGAGGACCTGGATCAGATGCTGAGAGAACAGGAAAGAGATGGGGACCCCATGGCCAACTTCATCAAAAAGAATAAGGCCAAGGAGAACAAGAATAAGAAAGGTGGGACTTCTGGGCACCATCAGAGATGGAGATGGTTTATATGAAGAGAGAAATTCATTAGGGTGATGATACATAGCTTTGTGCAAAGAAGGCTTTCCTGTACAATTTTACACTCCTTGCATTTGGGAGTTTAGGTCCAATTGAATAGAGATTTCCATATAGAATTTTTTTCCCAGTGCCATCCATCTCTGGATTGGATTATATAGGTAACTAACTTCTTGTTCCTCTTTCTTTGTAGTGAGACCTCGCTACAGTGGCCCAGCACCTCCTCCCAACAGATTCAATATCTGGCCTGGATATCGCTGGGATGGAGTGGACAGGTAAGCCTGAGTGTTTTCTATAGTTTTGCTTTCTTTCACTTTAATATCTTAACTCATCCTACCTTATTCTCTGCTCTAGTCCCAAAGTTAATAGGCAGTTTTTCTCTTTCAGAATATTTTAAAAGCTTTGGACTCAGGTGAACCAGATAGGACACATTTTGTTTTTAACATTGGTCATTTCTAATGATGCTTTCTTAGGTTTAGAGAGGATGGGTGATGGTTGGAAGCCTTCTATATGTTGTATTTTTAAAATGTAGCCCTTGAACCTTAATTTTGTTCACCACTTTAGGAGTGAGTCCCTTGTAATGGCTCACAGACTCCTGCCATCTCATGTATGCACCTACCAACATCTGTACTCATGTGCTGTAATTTGCTGTCTATTACGATGGATGATCTATATGTTCTCCTATCCAAAGTCAGTCTCTTTACTTACATATTAGGTCTCATCTCCTTTTGCCTGCTGAAAGATACTGTTCTAGCATATATCTAGTACAGCAATTTCAAACTTTTTGGTCTCAGGATCTCCTTAAAAATTATTGAGGACTCAAAAAAACTTTCGTTTATGTAAGTTATATATGATAATTTACTATATTATAAATTAAAAGTGAGAAGTTTAAAAAGTATTTAATTCACTTCAAAACAATGAGACCATTGAATATTAAGTTATCATATTTTTTATGAAAAATAATCATATTTTCCAAACAAAAAAAGAATGGCATTGATTCACATTTTTGCAAATCTCATTAATGTCTGGATTAATAAAAGATAACTGGATTCTGCATTTAGTCTATTATGATACATTGTTTGGTTGAAGTAAAGCAAGAAAATTAAGCCTAACATATAGGCAGTTATAAACAAAATGTGTATGATGTTCTTTGGTATTATGCAAAAATTCAGCAAGTGATGGTTTCTTAAAGGTTAGTTATAGATAAAATCTGAAATCATATCAAACAACTTTCCATACTGTTACATTAAAATCCATTGATCTTTTTTGTACTTTGAATGGACCTTTTATCATGCATGATTTCTAATACCATGCATTGGTCATTTGGAAGATACTGGTTGACTGAGTTTTTCAGACCTTCCAAATGTTGAAGTACTTCATTGTACAATATCAAAAAATCATCTTTGTTTATGTTATTTCTGATCTCATCACAGAAGTCTTTCAGTACTGGGGAGCCAAAGAGGTTATGGTGGCAGATTCAAGTTTTCCAAAATTTTAATTTATTCTTGGAAGCTTAAATTTTATCTTTGGTAACAAATACTATTGTATTCACTGCTCACTTATTGGAATGATTAGATTTCAAAGATAAGCATTATGCAAAAATGAAGGATGACCACATCAGATCACAAAATGGAGGATGACTACATCATTACATGACTGCCAAGTTACATCATTACATTGTGATGAAAGCACCTTGGCTTTCATTACCACCAGATATACATCATTAATGTGCAGAATAGTCAGATAATAGATTTTTTGCTGTTGTCATAAATGAAAAATGTCAGATAATAAGATAGTTCGTAAGTGAGAAGTAGGTGTAGTTGTTTCCCTTGAAACTCACTTTTTGTACAATAGTTTTTTGTAGATTCCATTGGATTTTCTACCTTGCTGTTCATGTCATCTGTGAATAAAGACAGTTTGACTTCTTCTTTTCCAACTGGATGCCTATTGTTTATTTTTTTTTACCTTTCCTACTGGTTAGAATTTCCAGATATCTATTTTAATTCCATTGTGATCAGAAAATATACTCAATTTTTTGATCTTTTGAAATTTATTACATGTTTTATGACCTGGTATATGGTTTACCTTAGTGCATATTACGTTTGCACTTGATGAGATTGTGTATTAGGTCAAGGTGGTTAATAGTGTCATTCACATCACTGATACTCTGATTCTACCCCCACCCCCTGGCCTACTTCTATCAATTACTGAGAAAAAGGTATTAAAATCTCTGTGATAGAGGATTTATCTTTTCCTCTTTACTTCTGTTACTTTTTGCTTCATATATTTTGGAACTCTGGTGTTAGGTGCATACACATTAAAATTAGTATGCCTTTGTATTGTTTAATCATTTTATCATTATGAAACAATCTTTTTCTCTAATAAAACTCTTTATCTTTTTTTTAAAAAAAATTTTATTGTGATTTGGGTGAATGTTTACAGAGCAAATTCATCTTCCATACCGCATTTCACATATACTTTGTCTCATGATATTGACTGCAGTTTCCCACAATGCAACAGCTTTCTTCCCACTTTCTCCCCGTAGTTACCTCTTCGCTGTGTCCTTCTCTCCCATGTACTCCTGCCCCCTAAGCTGTCTCTCCATGCATACACAGCCCTTCTATTCTTACATGATTGATCTCTCCAAGGAGTGTATCTACCTAATGTAAATGTTCAGCTCATATGCCTGTCTTTTGTTTGGCTGGAAGCCACGGGAGTGGCTTCCAGACCTGAAGGGCAGCTAGGGGCCATAGTCTTGGGTTTCACCAGGCTCTATAGACCAGCAAACCTGGTCCCTTTTTTTTCATGATACTGAGTTTCGTTCCACATTGTTCTCCCACTCCCACTCCCACTCCGGGATCTCCTACATAGATCCCCTTCCAAGTGGTTGACAGTGATAGCCAGGCACCATCTAGTTCTTCTGTCTCATAGTCATATAGGCTGAGGATCGCATGGTGGTGTACCAGTCACATGGACTAATTGTTCCATGTGTCTTTTGTTTTCTTCATTCTTCTTTGCTCTGGATGAGGAGAGACCCATCGTTGCAAACTAGATGGCTGCTTGCAAGCTTTTAAGATGCAAGTTGCTACTCGCCAAAGTAGGCTGTGGAACAATGTTTCCGTGTAATGTGTTATGCCCGTTGAGCTTGATGTCCCCTGTAACCATGGTCCCAAGCCCACATGCCCAGCTACTCCCTCCCTCCTGGTAGCTGGCTGTGGCCAAGAAGTGACTACAACCTTGTCCTTTGTCAGCTCTACTATATACCTAGAGATTTTTATAGACCATACAGATACACTTGTAGAAACATTGTCTGCCAACTCTATACATCATTGTGGGCACACTCCCCCATGCATAAAAACCAAACCAAACTTACTGCTGTCAAGTTGATTTCAACTCATAGTGACCTCTCCTTGGGTTTCCGAGGCAGTATTTCTACGGAAGTAGATTGCCCAACCTTCCTTCTGGGGAGTGGCTGGTGGGTTTGAACCACCAGCCTTCTGATTAGCAGTCAGATGCCTTAGGCACTATGCCACCAGAGCTCCCTCCCCCCTGCATGGACATACTTAATAGTTCAGCCTGTCCACCCATATATCAATGTTTGCCTTCACTGACAGCACAGTACTGTATGTGCAAAAGGCTTCATTTTTATTGTCTGTACCCCCAGTGCATCTCTCTTTGTCTTCTCTTCCTCAGTGCCACCATGTTGATCATTCATATTTGGTACACTGCCGTTCCCTTCACCCAAATCAATCCTTGTCTCTGCCTAGCTAGCAGTGTTTTCTCCCCTCCCCTCCCACCTCTGGTAACCAACAAAGAAAATTTCCTTCCATATATAAACCTTTCCTTGACTTTTTACAATAATGAACTAAGACTATATCTGTCCTTCTGTGATTGACTTATTTCACCCAGCATAATGTCCTCCAGGTTCATCCACGTTACATGGTGTTTTGCAGATTCTACATTAGTCTTTAGAGTTGCATAGTATTCCATTGTGTGTATGTACCATAGATTGGTTGTCTGTTCCTCTGTTGATGGACACCTAGGTTGTTGCTGTCATTTTGCTATTGTAAATAGTGCTGCCATGAACTTGGGTGTGTATGTATCTGTTCTTGTGCTGGCTCTCACTTCTTTAGGATATATACCTAGTATGGAATTGCTGGGTCAAACGATATTTCTAATTCCAACATTTTATGGAATCTCCATACTGCCTTTCCACAGTGACTATATCATTTGACACTCCCACCAGCAAGCAGTGTATGAGAGTGTCAGTATCTCCGCATCCTGGCCAGCATTTGTTATTTTCTGTCTTGTTGAATTTTGCTACTAGTGCTGAGGCAAGATGGTATCTCATTTTTGTTTTGATTTGCATCTCTAATGGCTAATGATCGTGAACATTTCTTCATGTATTTGTTGGCTGCCTGAATATACTCTTTGGTGAAGTGTCTATTCATGTCTTCTGCCTATTTTTTAATTGGATTATTTGTCTTTTTATTGTTGAGGTGTTGGAGTTTTCTGTAAATTCTAGAGATAAGTCTCTTGTCAGATATGTCATTGCCAAATATTTTTTCTGAATCTGTAGGTTCTCTTTTGACTCTTTTGGAGAAGTCTTTGGAAGCACATAAAAATTTAATTTTTAGAAGGTCCCATTCATCTAGTTTCTCTTCTGCTGTTTGTATATTTTGGATTATGCTTGATAGTCTATTTATGCCATATATAAGGGCCCCTAAGAGCTCTGGTAGCATAATGCCTAAGGCACTTGACTGCTAACCATAAGGCTTCAAACCCACCCGCCACTCCTCAGAAGGAAGGCTGGGCACTCTACTTCCGTAGCGATACTGCCTTGGAAACCCAAGGAGGGGATGCTATGAGTTGGGTCCGACTCACCAGCAAATAACAGCAACAATAAAACTTTGCCCCGATTTTTTCCTTGAGAAACTTCATAGTTTTAGGTTTCACATTGAAGTATTTGATCCATCTGGAGTTAGTTTTTGTGTATGGTTTGAGGTACGGATCTTGTTTCATTTTTCTGCAAGTGGCTATCTAGTTTTGCCAGCATCATTTGTTAATGAGACCACCTCTTGCGCATTTAATGGATTTTAACCCTTTGTTGAAGATCAGCTGACCATAGGTCGATGGATCTATTTCTGGGTTCTCAATTCTGTTCCACTGGTCTATGTGTCTTTCCTTGTATCAGTACCAGGCAGTTTTGACTCCTGTCGCTGTGTAGTAGGTTTTGAGATCCAGGAGTGTGAGACCTCCTACTTTGTTCTGCTTC